AAACTTGATTATAGGTGTAGCTACTTCTCTCTGCGTTATCGAGATGACAAATCTACCGCACAAGCTCCGCCCTTGAGAAAAAAGCTGCCTCTTTAACTCTTTTGCTGCGCAAACATGGCAACAACATTAATAATGATATAGACGGTGACTTGAGGTGTGGCTACTTCTCTTTGCTTTATTGGGATGACAAATCAATATCCACCCGACAACTCCACTTGCCATTTCCTTGTGTTAGGGCCCAAGGCTCTTGTAATGGCGTCGTGTGCCTCGTGGATGAATATTCTCCGGGGAGACTTGCCCTTTGGAACCCGTCTACTAATGAATTCAAGTTTCTTCCTCGGACGTGCATCCAACTCCATCCAGATGCTGAGTTCCGCATTTTTTTTGATGCCCATATGAGTTTCGATCCTATTTCTCAAGATTTTAAATTAGTAAGGTTCGTAGCAACCGTTTTCCCTGACGATGGTCATCAAACTCACGTGACTAATCACGTGGAGTTATACTCCCTAAAGTCCGATTCTTGGGAGGAATTATCCGATCACCGTTGTTTTGATTGCCGATTAACCACGTATGTTGTAGCTACTGTAAATGGGGTACCTTATTGGAGGGCGCAGATGAAAAACAAAAGGATGCGACTTCTTACCTTTGACTTTGCTAGTAAACAGTTCTCATTTGTTGATCTTCCTGATTCTGCTAACCGTGCACGGAAATTGCATCTTGCCGAGCGGGATGGGTCGCTTGCAGCTATAATTTACCCAGGTTTCGGAAAGAATATATTTTTTGAAGTATGGTTGAGAAGTCATGATGGTTCATGGGAGGAGGTATCCACAATTTGTGTTCCTGGTGCTGTTGAGCCATTAGGGTTCTGGACAAAAGATGAACTGCTTTTTAAATGCAGGGGTGAATACCTAATCATTTTTTGCCTTGACACTCGAGAGGCTAAGCGTCTTAATATCACTAGTGATCGTAAGGATCCTTACAAGACGTTCATTCCTTGTGTGGAGAGTGGAGTTCAGCTCGTTGGGAAATCAGAGTGCGAAAACAAAGAGGTATATTAATTATGAAAACGAGCCTATTTTAATTTAAGCTCATGGTTGTAAAATCTTTGTTGTTTCCTGGACTGTAATGTAATAAAGACAGTCTTTTGGATAATTAAGCTCTGGAACTTTTGTCATAATTTTTTAATCTGTTGTTATCTTGTATACTCTATTTTATACTTTTTGAGTCATTTAATTGGAACCCG